GCCCGCCAGGCCCGCGCCCCGGCCCGCGGGCACAGAGGGACCCGCGCCCCTGGATGCGCGGGGCAGGCCCCCCTCGGGGCTCGACTCCTGGGCACGAACTCTGCCCAGGCCAGGGTGTCTGTGCTGGACTGACCAGGAGTCCCCCAAGTCCGAGTGAGCGCCCTGGGGCCCGTGAGCCCTGCTGAGGCCGCCCCCCGGGCGCCCCTGTGGGTGGAGAGCAGGTGCCGCCCCCGCTGGCTGTCCTAGCTCCCGGGGCCCGGGACCACACCTCTTCTTCACGTATGCATTCATTCATTATTTATTCAGTGGCCACATATAAAAGCTCAATAAATATTTACTTATTTATTCAGTAAATAAGTATTTATTTATTTATTGAATATAAACACGTAGGAAAGTTTCCAGCTCTCCTTGGAGGTACCAGCTTAACTCATCCAGCCCATATTTGCACCCTGCGCATAAAGGACCTGTCTCCTAAGAAATCGGGAAAATACCCAAATTTAGTTCAGCTGGGCGGGGTGCCTATTTTAGGAATAGGAGCCTATGAGCCAGGCGTGGCCTAGGTTTGGGGAACTCAGAGCTAAGACATCATTTCCCCCCAGTTTGCAGCCCTGGGGGGGAGGGGGAGAGAAGAGAAACAGACAGGATTGCAAAGTCTGTCCTATAAACCGTGTGTGACTGCTGCTGGGGGACCACAGAAGGAGGACCCAACTCCCCCGCCAGCATCATGGGGGCTCACAGAGGAGGTAACATCGGAGCTGGGTCTCAAAGGATGAGCAGTTTTCCAAGCCAAGGAGGGAGAAGCCCCTTGGGTAGAGCTCCAGGAAACTGAGATCCCAGATTTCACTCATTTTCATTCATTCATTCATTTCGTCCCCCCAGAGTACAAATTCAGTAAGAGGAAATTGTAAACAACCTAAAGGGCCAACATAAAGAGATTGGTTCGCCTGGCGGGTGTGGCTCAGTTGGTTGGGTGCTGACCCATCGACCTAAGAGGTCACCAGTTCCATTCCAGTTGGGACACATGCCCGGGTTGCAGTTCCAGTCCCCAGGAGGGCATGTGGAGGAGGCAGCCAATCGATGTTTCTGTCCCTCTCCCTCCCTCTCTCTCTTAAAATCAATAAAAACATTTTTTTCGCCCGGCCCGGTGTGGCTCACCGGTTGAGCGTCGACCTAGGATCCAGGAGATCGGGGTTCGATTCCTGGCCAGGGCACATGCCCGGATTGCTGGCTGCAGCCGATCAATGACTCTGTCATCATTGATGCTTCTCTCTCCCCCTCTCCTTTCCTCTCTCTGAAATCAATGAAGATATATTTAAAAAATAAAATAAAAATTAAAAAATAAAAACATTTTTTAAAAAAAGAGATTGGTTAAATCATTGCCCTTCCAAACAACAGAAAGTGAGATGACATTCTCAGTCATATTTTGATAACTATCTAATCACAGGCAAAATTCTATATCCTGTCTGTGGTGGTAGTTACAAGACTAAACACGTTTTGTCAAATCTCATACAACTGTATGCTGATATGTAAAGTATGCCCTAATTTTTAATAGTGGGGAAAAACCTTTTTTAAAAATAAGTTACAAACAAGTACTTGCAGCGTGAGCCCAAATTCGAAAAAGAAAGGCTGGGTTTAGATGAAGTATGTGTGATGTACAATTCATCTCGCACACAAAAGGCTCTGTAATGTTATTTAGTCAACTGATAGAATTTTAACAAAATTAGTTTTATGTGAATGAAATATTTTTGAAAAGTGACATCAAATTTCAAGTCCCAAATTGGTAGAAGAAAAGCGTACATGGCCATGTGTGAAAATATCGTTCCTGTATGCAATTCGTGTTGTACATTTCTCTGAATATACATCATGTTTTCCTGCAAAGGGACACCTCAAAATCCTGGCAGTGCTTGTCTGAGAGGGGCTGTGGGTAGTTTTTGTGTCTTTCTTTGTGCTAGTCTGTACTTTCTAGATACTTTATAGTGAGTGTGCATCACTTTTTAAAAATATATATCTTTATTGATTTCAGAGAGAAGAAAGGAGAGGGAGAGAGAGAAAGAAACATCAATGATGAGAGTAATTGATCGGCTGCCTCCTGCACACCCCTGACCAGGGATCGAGCCCGCAACCCGGGCCTGTGCCCTGACCGGGAATTGAGCTGCGATCTCCTGGATCCTAGGTCGATGCCTGAGCCATGCCCAGGCGGGCGAGTGTGCATCACTTTTATCACTGGGGGGGAAACCCCCCAAAATGTTACGTGACTAAAACCTAGGCGAGAACAAACCATGGGGAACTCAATGACAGTGCAGTTATCTGTGCCACC